GGTCGAGCGCTCCCTCCCTTTACTCCCCTTCCACATCGTCAAGCCTTTGTCGTCTGCAACATGGGATTACCCTGTCGGAACAAGGGCTGTGTTCTCCCGCGTCCCGTCCCTTTTTATATTATTTTTCCTTTCTTTACTCGGACTCGGGCCGCTCGTGGCTCAGGCGAGATGATCCGCCCCGGCAGAGTGGGCTCCAGGAGGAGGCTGTTTCAGAGCGGAGCGGGGGCAGCAGGAAGAGGCTGCGAGATCCATCTTGCACTTGCTTTCGCAATGCCGTGCTGAGGGGTCGTGCTCGGGTGGTATAGCAGGCCAGGTGGCCGACTCCGCCATGCACGCATGCGGGCGTATTGCCTATTCGCACGGGGCCATATGGGGAGCCGTGGGCAGCGAGAAAGGCAAACCCAGCCGCACCTGTACTTGCGGTACTGTACCAGGTGGCTGATTCACGCCGCGCACTTCTGTAGTTAGACTGTACCGAACGCAAGAGTGCGGGCGGGTTGCCTACTCGCCTGGCCCGTAAGGCGCCGTGGACAGGGGCGATAGGCAAGCCCGCCCGCACTCCTGCGTGCGGTAAGTCTAACTACAGAAGTGCGCGGGGTTAATCAGCCACCGGGTATAACTACGAAACTGCGCGGCTTGAGTCAGCCACCCAGTGTAGGCCATCAGCATTACAAGTTAGCCTTTGCTGCGTGCGCATCAGCGGGTTTTCCTACCATTGTCTCACCGTTGACTCCTAATGCGCAAGGCGCACTGTGCGTGTAGTAGACAAACCCGCACGCTGCGATGGGGTACATTGGAGGCGTTGGATGGTTTCTCTCCCGAGACTCGCCCGCCCTTCTAGTCCAGCCCGTCCACCCCCGGGTCCCCGGCTGCAGCCTCCGCCTCCGAGGCCGCCTCTACTATGTCTACGGCGTCAAAGGCTTGGTGGGGGCGCCGCCTGTACCGACCGCCGAGCTCTGGGCCCCAACTCGCAGACAAGGCCTTCAATTAAGGTGCTTCGGACCAAGCTTCATTTGGCTGTTTGACTGAGGTGACGGTGCCGGCCGTGACTTGGCAAGCGATTGGAGCTCTGCCGTGCTAGGACACTCTACAGTGCTGCCACATGCAACTGCCACTAAATCACTGTAAATCAGGGGTGTCCAGCAACTGTGCAACTTAGGTTGCGCGGTTGCCAGAGCCGTTTGCTAGCCACCTTGTGTTGAGACCTTGGTTGCGACCCTTGTCCTGTACCGTTTTATATGCTCAAGGCTCGGTGGTGTCCTGTTGGCGTGGACACCACCTGTGTCAGGTACAGGTACACGCGCACACTTCGCTAGCCAGCCATGCGGTGGTATACTCGACCCTATCGGAACGCTTCGGCGGCTCGGGTGGAGGTTCGCGAACCACCCTGCCCCTCCTTTTCGCTCCCCCGCGCGTTGCGTGCCTGTGTTAATTTCCCTGGCTGTGGCATTACGACGCGACCTTGCGCTGCTCCCGGCCTGGCGCGGTCGTCCTCGACGGGATGTGCGGGGGACTCGATCGGGCTATACCGAAACACTGTGATCTAGAGTGGT